AGACATGCATGTTTTTATATCTTCATACAAGACAATTTTAGGCAGTAAAAAACTTGAGCAAAAACAAAGCCAAACAAATAACAATCTTCAAAGGGCCAGAAAGCATTCCATATCCTGAGTAAGAGGGGCATAACCGAATAGATTACCTTTAAGTAAAAGGTCACTGAAGGGAATCACTGAAGGGAGTCACTGAAAGGAATCCAAGCAGGTGCTCTTTCCCATGATCTCAGTCCTGAGAACTGCATGAAGCTCCGCTCGTTCCTGTTTTCCAGGAACTGCTAAGGAATAGAGACTCCTTGAGAAACGGCACACAAAGGAAGAAAACATATTGGATCCCTTAAAGTTGAATGTCCCCTGACAATGAATATTATGGATGTTGGGCCGTTTTAAGTTGAGAGGAATCTGTTATGAGTCTACTTGCATCACCTTTCTTCTTAGATATAAATATTAGTTCCAGAATGACATGAACTCTTCTCAAGAGAGTTTAAATAACAAGCACATAGGAAATATGATTATTAAAAACCTTTTATTAATCTCTTTCTTTTGTTTTTCTGCTCATCAGGGGAACCTGAAGACCCAAGAGTAATTCTATCCCCTGAGACAGTAAATCAAGTTAATCTCCTACCCAACTAGCTGTGTTAGTTTCCATTCTCTGCACATAAACTAGTTGGAGCCTTGAACAGAGGATAACCACTCTTTCTCACCAAGTAAATAGAACAGTACCTGTTCTTTTATTAGTAGTCTGCAAACAAATACCTCAACATAGCATATAGAAAGCTTAAAATTTTGGTTAAAAAATAACTAAAAAGGAACATGAGATTTATGTTGAAAGACATCACATACTGGAAAGTAATTTCTTGAAAGGTAGATTTATCTTGCTTCCCCTTATTTTCCTTCTTAAACTTTCATTCAGAGATAAGTTACTTGAGAATTGTTAGATTTCCACCTAAATACATCTAACAAGTCTCTCTCTCCCTCTTATGTATATATACAGTCAACATTTCAGTAACACGGGTTTGAACACTGTGATCTTATTACATGCAGACTTTTCCAATAAATATATTGGAAATATTTTTGGTGCTTTTCAACAATTTGAAAAAAAAATCACAAGTAGTATAGCCTAGAAATATTGAAAAAAATAAGAAAAATGTACGTTACAAATGCATTAATTATATGTAGATATTTGTATACAGGCATGTTACAAATGCATAAATTATATGTAGATATTCATATACAGGCATATTCACCAGGCATACCCTGGTGGCTCAATGGTAAAGAATCTGCCTGCAATGTGGGAGACTCAGGTTCAATTCCTGGGTCAGGAAGATCCCCTGGAGAAGGGAATGGCAACCCACTCCAGTATTGTAGCCTAGAGAATACCATGGACAGAGAAGCTTGGCGAACTATAGTCTGAGGGGTTGCAAAGAGTCAGATACAACTGAGCGATTAACACTTTCACTTTCATTTTCATATAAGGTGAAAGATATTTAGTGAAATATAATATAAGTGAAAGATATTTCAGTTTTCATATAAGGTGAAAGAAAGGCATAAGGTGAGAGATATTTAATATAAAGCTAACATTGTGAGAAGCCTGTTAGTTTTTGAACCATATCATAACTTTGTTTTCAAAGACTTACGTTACCATATAGAATGCCTCTTTCCATCATCATGGAAGAAACTATATTAGCCTATCATCACAGATAAGTGGTTTTAAAAAAAAAAAGAAGTAATAATGTTTTTAATACTGTGTAAGGGATATAACTATAATACTGCATGACATAAGAATTTTCTAAGAATCCATTCATTAATATATGGGCCAGGCTGCCTTGAAGCAATCATATAGCTGCTTCTTTCTTATTAATGCATGAATTGTAACTGTTTTGTTTGTTGTTTTAGTAACTAAGTCGAGTCTTACTCCTTTATGACCCCATGGACTGTAGCCTGCCAGGCTCCTCTGTCTGTGGGATTTTCCAGGCAAGAACTCTGGAGGGGGTTGCCATTTCCTCCTCCAGGGGATCTTCCCGACCTAGTGATTGACCTTGTATCCCCTGCATTAGCAGGTGGATTCTTTACTGTGGAGCCACGAGGGAAGTCATGAGTTGTTATAGCTGTAAACAAATATGAATCTTTTCACTTTATCTTTTCATTTTTGAGATCTAGTGTTAGTAATATGTATAATATCTACAGTGTGTTCTATTCTATAAGACAATATTGATGTACATGGTGACACACAGATGATTCTCTTTGTAAACAATTGACATACACTTACAGTCCCCATAAACACAGTACAGTAAGTGTATTTTCTCATCCTTTTGATTTTCTTTATAGCATATTCTTTTGTTTAGCTTGCTCCATTATAAGAATGTAGTATATAATGCATAAAACATACAAAATATGTGTTAACTGACTGCTATGTTATCTATAAGGCTTCTGGTCAACAGTAGGCTGTCGGTAGAGAAGTTTCTGGGGAGTAAAAAAGTTATATATGGATTTTTGGCTGTGAAGGAGCTGAGTGAGACGTTGATGCCACTAAGCCATGCATTGCTCAAAAGTCAACTGTATATACAACATAAATACATATATATATGTTATCTGTAATAAGGATCTATGAAGAGGGACTAAGTTGCTATTAAATGAACAGACAAGTCAAACATTGATACCTTTCATTGATACTCCTATCTCAGGTTACCTTGCAATTCACCTGATGAAATTTTCATACTTTATCTAATCTAAATCTGATGTATTCTCATGGTGGAATCCCACTGGTACAGCAAAAATTTCCATTTTTGAGTTCTGATATCCATATAGGTGATTAAGATAAGTCTATGTTATTTATCCTCTTATTTGAAAAATATAGCTTTATTGTAACTCAAGCCACATTGTCTGGAGATATGATCATTTTTATGGGCTTTGCTAAGAGCAGAGAACTTTGTTTCTACCATGTTGGTGAGTCATTGCTCAGAAAATAATAGCAATCTTGATCTCAACAATATTTTGCATTAAATTACAAACATCATCTCTTCCTCACTTCACACTGTAAACAATTCCTACTTCTCTTGACTTCAAGATGGCATAGGCCTTTTATTCTTTCGTTGGTTCTGTCTTTCTTGTCACAGGTAGTAGGTTTTAGATATGCATCAGATATTTGATGGAATTGTCTTCTGTTGTGAGAGCATCACCTGGATTTACGAGTATGAGCAGTGGAAGATGCAGGAAAGGATATCACCTCTAATGATACTTTCATATTTAAGGCTGAAATATATATGTTAGAAACCAGCCCCTACCCAGTGAAATGTAGTTGGGAGAACACATATGAGCTCTGTTCTTAGAGCCTCATAAAGCATAGTCTCACATAAGACAAGCATCATACCAGCAATCTTATGAGGGTTGGTATTTTATTGATCATATTGGAGATTGGAGATTGTAGAATTCTGTACTGGAGTTTAGATTCTTAACCTGCTCTAAGAGTATTTCCTATATAAGCAGGAAGTGGTATTAATGAGACACAAGTACCAATACCAGTGATGAAATTTTCCTTGAAGTTGTAGCTTTTGAAATTGAGAAGTCTCTATATAGCACAATGAGAATTTATTTTTTTCTCTCTCTATATATACACATATATGATATATATTATATACATTTATAATATATATTATGCAAAAAATATATCATATATTACATATATGGCAATTTTTTAATAAAAGGCACAGTGCTGTGTGGTTCACTATCATTTACTGAGCAGCCCCAAAGCTTCAAGGAACTGAATAACAACAACCTCAATAAGTTTGTAAGTGGATCGTGAGCCTCAGACAAGATTTCAGACTCAGCCGATACCTTGATTTCAATGTGATGAGTCCTTAAGTAGGAAAACCCAGATGACTTGACTCAAAAAACCTTTAAGACAGTAAATTTGAATTGTTTTATGATACTGAATTTGTAGTCATTTATGATACACCAATAGATGAATTCATAGAATTTCTCCACTTCCTTTTGCATATCTGGATGTGTGTGAGTGAGTGAGAGAGGATGATGATGAAATCATTCCATTACTTTTTTCAAAGAAGCTTCATAATAAACAAAGTTGAGTATGACTCTAGAATTATCTACCTTGAATGATGCAGCCTCTATCTAGAGAATGCGTTCTCAGTTCTCCCTTAAAGCTGGGTGTTTTTGATATTCCTACAGAGAGAGAGCAAAAACGTGGAGAGATGACAAACATGAGCCTGGTGACAACATTCATCCTCTCGGGCCTTCCCCATCCACCAAGGCTGGACACATTCCTCTTTGGAATCTTCCTGGTGATCTATGTCCTCACTGTGGCGGGGAACCTTCTAATCCTGATGGTGATTATAGTGAATCCCCGCCTGCACACACCCAAGTACTACTTCCTGGCCAACCTGTCCTTCACTAACATGTGATACTCCATGGTCAGGACACCCAAAATGTTGATGACCCTGGTGTCCCCAGAAGGCAGTCCTATCTCCTTTCCCAGCTGTGTGGCCCAGCTCTACTCCTTCCACTTCCTGGGCAGCACCGAGTGCTTCCTCTACACCATCATGTCCTATGACCGCTTCTTGGCCATCAGTTACCCGCTCAGGTACGCCAGCATGATGAGTGGGAGGATGTGTGCTCTCCTGGCCACAACCATGTGGCTCAGCGGCTCTGTGCAGTCTGATGTCCAGATCACATTGATGTTCCATTTGCCCTTCTGTGGACCAACCAGATCCAACATTACATCTGCAATGCACCATCTGTCCTCAAATGGCCTGTGCAGACACCTCCACCGTGGAGATGGTGATCTTTGTCAACATTGGGGTGGTGGCTTCAGGCTGCTTTCTCCTGATAGTGCTGTCCTACATGTCCATGGTCCATTCCATCCTGAAGATCCGCAACTCAGAGCGGCGATGGAGAGCCTTCCAGAGCTGTGCCTCCCACTGCACTGTGGTCTTTGCTTCTTTGTTTCCTGTGTTTTCATTTACCTGAAACCAGCCTCCAAGGAGGTTGTGAACAGGACTGTGGCTGTTTTCTACACTGTGCTGACACCCCTTCTGAACCCTGTGGTCTACACCCTGAGGAACAAGGAAGTGAAGAAAGCTCTGTTGAAGCTTAAAGTCAAAGTAGCATATTCACAAAGCAAATAATCTCTGCACTGTACATATGCTTACTTAAAAAACAGTAATAAAATAATATAGTAATATAATTTTATCAACATGAAATGTACTATGTATATAGTTTTCGGTGTTAAACTTTATTCACACTACTTAGTCAGAAATATCCATTTCACAGATTTCTTTGAGAATTTTTTAAAAATACAAATTTTTTATTTACAATAAACATGCTTAAATTTTGATCTATGAACTCATTTCTCTGCAGTACATTTATGTTACATTTTTCCCACTCTTATTGACATGTAGTTGACATATAACATCGTTTCTGCCTTTTTAAGGGCTTCCCTGGTGGCTCAGATGGTAAAGAGTTTGCCTACAGTGAGAGAAACCTAGATCTCTCCCTGGGTCAGGAAGATCTCTTGGAGAAGTAAATGACAACCCACTCCAATATTCTTACCTGGAAAATCCCATGGATGGAGGAGCTACAGTCCATGGGGTCGAAAAGAGTCAAACAAGACTGAGCGACTTCACTTTCTACCTTTTTAAAAAGTAAATATTCAGCCTGTATCTCAGATGCAGAGGAGTGACTTACTTATATATTCTTAAGTTGATAATATGATTTTTGTTTATGTCTTATGCACACCAACATGGGGTTTTAGAATCCAGGGACACTGTTAACACTGTTTAAGGACAGCAACAATTATCAGAGGTCATCTACTTATGGATGCAGCTGTGCATCTGCCTCCTCAGTTCTTTTTGTGGCTGCGTGTGTGTGTGTGTGTGTGTGTGTGTGTGTGTTTACACGTGTCTGTTTGCATGAAGGTCCCAAGCTAACTAGTCCTGTTCCCAGGACATCTTGACCCTGGTCAGTGCTGCCACACTGTAAGAGTCCCACACTTCTGAGCAACTTGTCTCTCTAGATAGATCTGCTAGGATAAGCTGTGGCTCTGAGAGACTCCTTTCAGAGACTGGAAACCATCACCACCTTCAGAGAGCCCTGTGGTTTCTCAGGTTTGGTCCGTGTGATCAGGAGGAAGCTACCATCAAATACCTTCAGTCTCCGTCACACAATCTGACATTAAATTCTTGTGTTACTGAACCAGATGCCCATATTCAGCACAATCATTCTATACTGGGCTATTTCACTATGGGTGGTGATGACAGTCATGCTGCTCAGAGAGCTCCTTAGATTACCAAACCTCAGCTTCCTCCAAGACAGGGACACCGTACATTGCAGGCTGAAGCCAAGGGTGCTTCCTATTTAGAAAGTAGAATAATTAAAGTGTAATTAAGTCACTTGGTATCATGGGATTTCAACATATTTCTTTCACAAGTTAGAAAAATAAAGCCTAGTAAAGACAAAACTTATGCTGGAAAGTGAAGATGAACTAAAGAGCCTCTTGATGAAAGTGAAAGAGGAGAGTGAAAAAGTTGGCTTAAAGCTTAATATTCAGAAAACTAAGATCATGGTATCTGGTCCCATCACCTCATGGGAAATAGATGGGGAGTCAGCAGAAACAGTGTCAGACTTTATTTTGGGGAGCTCCAAAATCACTGCAGATGGTGATTGCAGCCATGAAATTAAAAGACACTTACTCCTTGGAAGGAAAGTTATGGCCAACCTAGATAGCATATTAAAAAGCAGAGACATTACTTTGTCAACAAAGGTCCGTCTGGTCAAGACTATGGTTTTTCCAGTGGTCATGTATGGATGTGAGAGTTGGACTGTGAAGAAAGCTGAGCACCAAAAAATTGATGCTTTTGAACTATGGTGTTGGAGAAGACTCTTGAGAGTCCCTTGGACTGCAAGGAGATCCAACCAGTCCATCCTAAAGGAGATCAGTCCTGTATGTTCATTGGAAGGACTGATGCTGAAGCTGAAACTCCAGTACTTTGGCCACCTCATGCGAAGAGTTGACTCATTGGGAAAGACCCTGATGCTGGGAGGGATTGGGGTCAGGAGAAGAAGGGGACAACAGAGGATGAGATGGCTGGATGGCATCACCGACTCGATGGACATGAGTTTGAGTAAACTCCAGGAGTTGGTGGTGAACAGGGAGACCTGGTGTGCTGCAATTCATGGGGTAGCAAAGAGTCAGACATGACTGAGCAACTGAACTGAAATACAAAACACCCTAAAAAAAAAAAGTGCATAGCTGCTGCTGCTGCTAAGTCACTTCAGCCATGTCCAACTCTGTGAGACCCCATAGACGGCAGCCCAACAAGTTCCCCCGTCCCTGGGATTCTCCAGGCAAGAACACTGGAGTGGGTTGCCATTTCCTTTTCCAACACATGAAAGTGAAGTCACTCAGTCATGTCCAACTCTTAGCGACCCCATGGACTGCAGCCCACCATGTTCCTCCATCCATGGGATTTTCCAGGCAAGATACTGGAGTGGGGTGCCATTGCCTTCTCCAAGTGCATAGGTACACAGCCCATAATCATGGACTTCCATGTGTAATGATGAAGATGTGACTGTATCTCAATTTCTCATCTATTAAAGACCTTCTCTAGCAATACTGTTCAGAGGATTAAATGACTTGCAAGTCACAATAAATTCTTAAAGTTTTAAAATTAGAACATGCAACCACCAGCCAGATAGCCTGATTCTTAGAATCTTTTCTTCTACAATTTATTTCAGTGACTCTCTAGCCACTGACATAATATTTGGTACATGCATGAATGTAACTTTCTTTAAATCACTGATAATAAATTATAGTCATGATTATCACCATTATTCACAATGTAATTATTCTGATTAGCTATTTTGATGAATTTTACATGGCCATATTTACTAGTTTTCAAGGAACTTAATAATTATAAAATCAACAAAAATTACATTCCACCAAATTATTCTAGAACAATTCAGAGACAAAAATATAAATATTACTGAGCTTAGGATATACTAGACACTTTATAATTTAATCATTACAAGAACCCTATGAGATCTGTACTGTTGATATATAAGGCAAGAAAACTAAAGATGATTAGGTCGCTTGCTCAAATATGCAGGGTTAGTAAGGAATATGGTCAAGGCTTAACCCCAGATATCCAGCACCAAAGCCCATGATGTTAAACTTTACCCTACATTGCTATCACTAAATACAAGGAAACTTTTAAGTGTTTGGGGAGAACAATATCAATGAACATCAATAATCATTGAAACAACAAAGCAGATAATTTTGTACAGTTGTATTTTATATATCAAATGCAATTTCTTATAAACTACTTTACTCCACATATACTATGAAAAGCACCTTAGCTACCTTACCTTTGCCTGATTTAGATTCTAAATGCTTCATCACACTTTATTTACATGCTCCACATTAAGTTGTGGACTTCTCAAGGAAAAATATTGTCTTATCCTGTAATAATCCATCTTTATAAATGTTTGCCTCCTTTCTTTAGGATGCTTCCTCTGCTATAGGCCATTTCTATTTCATAATATATTTATTTACTTTCTTAGAGACCCAACTTCTGATGCACACTCATAATATTAGGTATCACTCCTAAACAAGGGCCTTCTCTTTCCCTCCATGCTGTTCCTGCTTTCCTTGTTCAAGTCCCTAATAACTTGAGTTTGTCAGATATTTCAATTAGGAGATAAAGCTATTGCATCAAATTTTACATGTCTAAACATTTCTCCCTCTTCTTCAACATTTGTCTCTTATGTGATATGATTATCCCAGTATAAAGCTACTCTGAAACTCAGTGTCTGCCCATAATCCTTCCTCATACATTTCTTCATATAATTGAAAAGGGAATAAGAGAAGAGATAAATAGAAAAAAATGAAAGAGTTCAAATGGCATGAAAAATCTCTGCAAAATAAAGAAGCATAGTGGATAATTTTAATACTTCTATAATGAATTCTTAATATCTTCAAATATTAATTGGGAGAACTTTATTTTGTAAATACTTCCTTATGTCATTACTATGCCCTAAACATTATCAGGCCTGTTTTCAAAAGGGAAAAAAATTTTTTTTTCATTAATAAAATAATTCAGAGTTGATGTTTCCATTCCAGTTGGGGAATGATGAAAACAGAAAAACTTTCAACATCTTGTGTCATATATTCATGTATTCTCTTGGGTCTTTCCTTGCAGTAACAGCTATAGAGTATTGAACTTGTCCTTGGAGACTCATTATTATGCTATCATTCCCCTGCTAGCCCCAAATTTTAAAACATTGTTTGTAATAGCATGATGTGTCTAAGTGATTCCTTGAAGTTATAGTTTCTGAGTTAACTAGTAGCCAAAAGGGATCTTAAATTATAGAAGTACATAGTTAAATGATGAGATGTAAGTAGCTAGCATGGAAAGAAGCTGGCTAAATCCAGAAGGAATAGGATGACTTTTATAATAATCTTAATGTTGATACTGTTCATTCATTCAATCCTGCATTATCAGTTAATTAATCGATGCAATAATTCCTTTAAAATTTTAATAAAATGACTATTATATTTAAGGCCCTGTGTGCTGCTGTTCATGAGGTCATAGAGAGTCAGACATGACTGGGCAACTGAACAACAACAAGATATTTAAGGCACAGGAAAAACAGAACATCAAGACAGTATTTGTGTTCCAGAAGTCCAGCATCCATACCTGAAACACATAAGTAAACAAGTGAGTTTTAGAATGTCATAAAGTATACATCAGGTGAAACTGTAAACCATGTGGCATCTAACAGAGGTTAGGCAGTTGAGTGAGTCACAATCTGAAAATAAATAAAACTACATACACAGATAATAATCAAACATGTAGTTCATATTAATAACATGTGAGCATAAATAATATGGACTTCTCTGATGACTCAGTGGTAAAGAAACTACTTTCCAAAGCAGGAAATGCAGGTTCAGTTCCTGGGTAGAGAAGATCCCCTGGAGGATAAAATGCAACCCACTCCAGTATTCTTGCCTGGGAAATCACATGGACAGAGGAGCCTGGCAGACTATAGTCCATAGGGTCTCGAAGAGTCAGATACAGCTGAGTACATGTGAATAATATAGAGATTATTTCAGTTCACGTGTTTTGTA